CTGGAAACTTTTCTCTGCAAAAATATTCCAGCGTGGAGGCGCCTATGGAGATCTCTCTCAGCTCCTGTGCAGCATGGGAAACCTTTGTCCCACACATCTTGTAAACGCGGTGGGGGGCCACCATTGTGCCTCGCATCTTCTGAGCACCGCGGGAGGAGGCTTTTGTCCGGCGCAGTGGGCAGGCGCCGTAGGAGGGCACCTTTGTCCCACACAGCCGGTAATCGCTCTGCAAGAGTGAACTATGGGGATTGCAGAGCTCCTTCCCTCCGCAGGCGCTGCAGTTCCAGACGGAGGAGTTCGTCAGCCTCACTGGGTGAAGAGCTGTTTTTCCTGAGTGGAAGTGGAAAGGGGAGGCGGTGAAAATGCATTTGCACACATGCATGCAAATGGCCACTGGGATCATTCACCTGGTCGTGTTGCACAGCCACCCCTGCAGGCACCAATCCCAGTGTCATTTTTTGCTTTTCCCTTTCCTTATTTTTCCTACCCATTGAGGCCGCCCTTTTTTTATGATTATTGTTCTGTCCCTTCTTATGTTTGCTTTATCTCCTATTCAATATATCATCTCTTAATTAATCTAATTAACTAATAAGCACTCTCATTATTCTTTCAGATCACTAATAACCATGTTTAAAAGTCTTGAGCCCTAATACCAATCCCTATGGGACTTCATAGGTATATTTTCAACCCTGTGCAGTTACTTATTATTTACTTTCTCAAATGCTCTAGCCTCTTCCCAAGGAGTGCACGAGTGCCCGTTTCCAAGGCAGTCTGAGATACTGTATGCTGTCTCATAGATGCAGAGTTATGCCTTTCTTCAGCTGAAATGTAGTGAACCTGATGAACCGTGATGCTGTTCCAGACTTGTGGTGGTAATTGCGGAGAGCAGAGTCCCAAACTGTGACCCAGCGAGGAACGGTGATGAGATGAGTTGAGATGAGATGCTGAGTCTGGTCCCAGCCTGCAGAGATGCCATGTGCACTGTGGGTGCTGGTGGACATGCTGCTTGCGGCTAGAGCCAGCACAGGCGCAGCACCACAAAGTTGGGAACTGCATTACTTTCAATCTCAAGTATTGTGAGGTCTTCTCGGCTGGAGTAATGCAAACAAGAGATATGGGTGACTGCCGCATGTTTGAGCAGTGAAGGTCATAATCCGTTGTAAGTGATTCCCCAGATTCCCACCACCCCCAAGTTGTCAGATTGACGTATGCAGAAAGACATAGCAATGGATAAATCTCTCGCCCACTGATTTTTGTGATTCAATAAAGTGGTCAAGTTAGGTTTTTATCTGTTCTTGTCAAATCTGAGCCTGTTCTGTTCTAAGGCGCCTGGTACCCTAAAGGTGCTTGTGATTTTTTTCATGTTGATCTCTTACTTTACTAATATTCAGAGGTAAACTTTACGCGCAGTAGTTTCATTTAATCCTCCTTTTCTCAAATTAACATTGTTTTCCTTCCCACCCCCACCCCAGTCCTCTGGTGCCTACCTGATTGTGTGTGAATTCTCAGAAATAATTGCCAGTAGTTCAGCAAGTTCATTAACTGATTCCCTGAAGACCCTCAGATGCATGTCATCCAGACCTGGTGATTTGTATATTAAATTTTTGCAAATATTCCCTTACCTGATTTTTTTGTATCAACAACTGTATTGGCAAGTCTTCATTATTTCTAATTGTCAGTATCTCTTTGTGGTGGTGGGTAAATTGATTCTGAAACTTGTTCACCGTTTTACAGTCATTACTCGTTTCGCCTCACACATTATTGGATCCACCTTCTCTTCGGAGCACCTTTCTGATGATGTTCTGTATGTGTTAAAATATACATCCAGTTCTCCCTACCTCTTCCCATGCTAGCAACTGGGAGGACACTCTACTTCTATGGCATTTCTCTCATTTCTCTTAGTGGGGCTGGGAGTGGGGGGGATTGGGAGTTTTTTTCTTCTGCAACTGTAGCCTTAACATATTTTAGGATGTTCTAGCTGTCTCCCACACTTAACAGTTTTTATATGTCTTTTTATTGCAACATGCTCCTAAGATTTCTCAAAGAATTAATGTCTGAAATCACTATACATTGTGCGACAACCCGTTGCTTAATACGGTATATTGAATCATGCAGTTTAACATCACGGCCATTGAAATTAGTGAGCGCTAGGGGTATACGTACCTTAAAGGACCTTGGCTTTAGTACAACTGCTTCTTATTATCCAGCTCTCACAAACGATTCTTTCTATCAAAAAATAGATGGCTGCTCATGCATTTAATTTACATTTGTCTACTACTAAATACACAATTGAGATTGCAGTCGTCAATGATATTTTTCCTCTAGCAAAAACCTTATGGCCAAATCTGTCATCACCCTTAGGACATAGCTCCTATTGCTTCTGTCTCATTTTCTGAGCCTCTCGTATATAAATCACAAATGCACAGTCTGTGCAGTGTTAAATTTTTAGGGCTCTCCCTTTAGTAGTAGTTGAATGTGAATACGTAAGGACAAAATTTGACCTTTAAATGACTATAAAGGGCCAAGGCAGATACTTGGCAAGCTTTTCTTATTGCAATATTAATCAAGCAAAGAATCATCATAATCCTGAAAACTAAATAGCCATTGTAGTGATTTTATCACCAGGGAAATTGTTCATCTGTCAGTAAGATTGTTACTAGGAAAGGGAAAATAGGGAGTGTTAAAATTGCTTTAGACCGCTGAATCATTGAGTCCCTCTAGACTCAAAGCTTGAATTGTTTTTTGAGAGGGGTGGGTTGAGAGGGGTTGCTACAGGAAAGCTGTAGGTTAATCAGTTTCAGTAACACCAGTGAATGTAAGCCTGATCTCTCTTGAGGACATGAGGAGAGTGCATGGGAGAAGGCAGGACGGAGAAAGGGACGAGGAGGCTTCAGAAACTTATTGTTTTGTCATTTTTTGTTTCTGGATGGCCCTTTCACAGAAGAGGGAGGCTGTTGATAAAAAGAAAAAGAAAGAAAGGGGGGGGGGCACCACATAATGTTCACTGTCTGTATTTTCATCTAATTTAATCCAGTGGATATTAATGAGGATGAATACGATCGAGCCAGAAGGGGACGGATGCAGGCAGGCGGGAGTGAGAGACGTGTTTGTGTGGGAAGCGTCCTTGTAGGGCCCAGAAAGCCGCATGGGAAGCTGCTTTGCCTCTTGTGGCTCAACGTGATATTACCATGTGCTGTGACACAGGTGTGTGAGGAGACGTACTATGCAGGAGTGTCCTTGGGGTGTGCTAGGACAGTCCATCCCTCCGTAAAACCAGCTTCAGTAGATGACATCTTTGCTGGTGTTATTCCAAGGTGGCAGTGGGCAATTGTAGCATACCCAACCATGCCATAACCTGAGGGATAGGTTTGTTAGGCTGTGGGTTGTTCTGGAAGGGGACCTTAATCCTTCTGCTGTGGTGGGACAGGATGACCCCAAGGTGGGGAACAAGCATTGGTGAGTGTGGGTATGGGGTGGCTCTCTGTAGGGAATGGGGTAGACAGTCTGCATTGAAAGCCACCTATAAGATATGACGGACTGCCTCCCAGCAAAGAGGATTTGCACAAGGATGGGTGAATTTGGAGGTGGAACATGTTTGTATAAAAGGTGTCTCTGGGAAATTTGTGTAAGATGTCATGAATCGTCTCCATACGAGAAGCGGAGAAGGGGGGGGGAATCTGTGAGTGCGCATGACGTGGATCCTCTTTGTAGAAAAATGTCTCTTTGTGTGGGAAGTGGTGTCTTTCTGTAGAGGGCTTTTTTGGAGGAGCTTGTCTGATGACTGCCTGTGAGTGAGCGGGGGAGGGAGACGTGACGGGTAGCACCTCGATCACAGACTTTCCGGAGGGGATGGTGCGCATTGAGCCACCAAGGATGCACCAAGGATGGGCACATGTGGGTGAGGATCCCGGCAAGGGCGTGAAGGTGGGCGTGCAGGCAGTGACGTGCCAGAGCATCCTTCAGGGGCAGCTGCCCCACATCCCTGGGGACCATCGGTTGCCCCACATCCCCTGGGGACCATCCACCGCCCCTCGCGGCATCCCTCTCTGCCAGGCAGGCCACGGCCACCGTGTCCTTCATTGTTGTCACCCCCAGATTGTGATACTGTCACAAAACTGTTGCTAGGCAACAAATGTGGTTACCGGGTCTCAGCGAATAGCTGAAGGGGAAAGCGAAGTGTTGCACCATTGTAGAGTAACCATAGCAATGACCTACTATTACAGACTAAAGAATTATCATTAACAATGTTAAAGTATCAAACGGAGGCCCAGGATCCAGAGACTTCCAGGCAGCATCTCCGCATAATTGGGTTACCCAGGAAGAGGTCCCAACTCTTTCACAGCTGTTGGTTCCCTATCTCCATCGTCTTGGTTTTGTTTTGGGGGTTGTTGTGGGGTTTTTTTGTTTAAATAAAGCAAATGCGCCGAGCGTTGAAGGAGGCACTTGTAAAACAATAGAAGCGCCCACCAAAAAAAAGAGATAGAGGTGAATCTGTATGCAGAGGGAAGAGACAAGGAGGAAAGGTCCACTTTACTGCCTCAGTGCACGAAGGATGCCTTCATGATGCATCCATTGTTGTTCAGGTCAAGTGTTCTCTTTTGGTTAAAAATCATATACCAAGCTAAAAGCAATGTAAAATGAAAAAGAAATAGTACAAAGTACACCAGCCCTGAAATGTAGACGCTTTTTTTTTCCAAGTTAGGCAGAACAGGTGAGGTGCTTTAACGAAGCCTGACTTAGCAGGGTGCTTTCCCAGGCCTGAGATGCATTCAGGATCTCTGACCTGTGTGGTCTGTGTGTCTGTGTGTCTGTGTGCATGGTTGTTCCTGCCCAGCTGCCCCTGAGCTCAGCAGCAGGGCAGCCCTGACCCCCCTGGGCTCCCCCTGGACCAGCTGCCCACGGTTGCATGGCCTCCCTGAGTTTTGCATTAACACCCCTGTGAGCAGGGCCAGCAGCAGCAAAACAACCCCCAGTCACACTGTTGCCTTTGTATTTTGCAGGTACGGAGCGCCATGAACTAACTTCCTGGAAGAGTTTTCCATCTATTTTCAAGTTCTTCAGCGAGGCATTAGAGGCAAAGAACAGCTCAGTGAAACCAACCCCAACGCGGCGCTCCAACAGGATAAAATACGAAGAATTGTAAAAGGAGGGGGGAAAAGAAAAAAACACCAACAACCTCTTCACTGCTTGTTTTCTGCAAGCAGTCTCCCAGCCCCTCATTAGATTGTTTTCTTCCTAGAGCACAGGGTCGTGATGTATACATCTAAATAGCGTTTTGCATTATTTCTAGATGAGTGCAACTGTCAAAGCAATATGGGTTCACTGGTTGTGCTTCCTGTGGGCTGTAAGTTGGATTTCGTGCTGCCCATCAGCGCGCAGATTAAGGCTGACAGTGGTACTGCACAGTGCAGCATGGTGCAGCTCTAATTGCCCTGACATAGCCCTGCACCAAGCTGATGCCAGAATTTAACAGCTTCGTCGTGGTCCTATCGCCTGCAGGATTCTTTGCTGCTTCCTTCTATTTTGCGACAGAATGAAACATGAATTACTCTTTTTTAAAGACGGCTCTAACTCAGAAGTGCTAACCAGTCCGTGATTTTACACCCTTCTCTTTCTCTGGGACCAAGTGGGATCGACTCTTGACTCTTTCATTTTCTGCTGGTAGGAGGGTCCAAGAAGTTTGGGCCAGATTTATAGGAAAGCCCCTTTGTTGTAGAGATTTTCTCCTACTGCCGGATCAATGGCATTATCTGTAGATCTTCTCTTCCTTTTGAAAGCTCCACTTTAAAAAATGCCTGTTCATTAACTGGCTGGATCACACTGTGAAATATGACAGAAAGAAAAAAAAAAAAAAGAGACACACTGCACATTTTCCTGTTTATTTTTAAACGCAAAGATGCTTCCGTTTTCATATGCTGGGTTTGTAATGACTTGCCATCCCATGGCTATTCCTTTTTTCCCTCAGCTCACAGGTTCATCCCCGCTTTCCCAGGAGCTGGGGGGAGGCCGCCCTGCGTGGGGACCCCACGCCG